CACGTGTTTAAGTTGTGATTGGCTATTTAGCGGTTAGGGGAGGGGATTTCATATTATATCATGTGATCGCACTGTCCCTAAGCACTGTCCGTAGATTCTGCGGTGCGACGGTGACTCATGGATCACGTGTTCCGGGCCTAACAATAGTAAAATGGATATCGAATATAAATGGATAAACGGATAATGGATTGAAACTCTAGGTAAATCAGGAAACCATTATAAAAATAAAAGTAAAAAGAAATAAATTCGACTTTTGACTTCATGATCAGCTTTAACGTTAAGGACTGACTTGAATCAATTTTTCATAGTAGGACACAGTAAAGAAGAAACCACATAGCTATAACGAGAATCGCTTATATTCTGAGCTGATCCCGGAAGCCCGTGGAAGAAGGTGATCGAGGTGGCGCAGTAACAATTAACGGCAATGTCGATCACCTACCTAATATGGGCTTCCCGGGATTATCGCTCCTAAAAGTCGTTTACATCTAATAAGGGAATAAATGCAAACGATGATTAACAGGTTATATAAGAAATACGGGCTTTAAGTAAAAAGGGACATATGAGGGATAATATGGATAATATGTTTAATAGGTTTAATAAGTTTAATACCTTAAAGGACGCCTATGTAATAGAACAATATATAATAAAGGCTTCGAGCCTTACAAGAAGAGTTCAGTTTTGCGCTTATCATAAACGCTTGTGTCAGTAGCTACTTTAGATAAATCGCTACTTCAGATGCGACGTATATATGAATAAATCCAATTTATGAAAAATTCTAACACATATTTGTGTAAAGAGACCATAAAACCATGCACTCCGTTCCTGGTACATGTATTAAAAATGCCGAATGCAAATTTCCTTTTTAAAGTATTGCGAGGAGGTACTAATCATATAGAGTAAAAAGAGTAACCACATACGGCGAAATTATTACATCGCATTACTGCATTAGGGATAATCAACTGACAGATTTTAACTGATCGGCAAACCAAAAACTACCATTTTTTAAAAAAAACCGTCGTAACTCAAAATTTCGTCTATGTAAACCATCTTCTGCGCGTTAGTAAAAAAAATTCCCTGCAAAATTTTAGTATAAGTCAAGTATCGTTATAATTATAAACCTTGTTCCTAATGTACCATTTTATGATTTTAAACAAATTGTCGATCAGCGAAAATCTGTCGGCGCAGTTCATTATTTTCTGCTGCGATAGACCCCAAATTCTGCCTGCTTTACAAATCAGTTTATGCGAATTTTGCGATAAATTTTTTAGAGTTATGCTGCAAGTTATGCGAGAAGTGTTTCATTTCTCAGATCTTAACCCTGGGTTTAACACATTAAAAATAACACCGATTCCAGCATCCCTTGGTGTGCGCAGATTTACTGAACTACAAATCAGATTTAAAATCAGGCGCAACGTAACACGATCACCCATTGCGTAACATATAAAAAATTGATTTTACAATACCAATCATTCCGCTAGTATATGTTATACACTATCTTATTATAATAAAATTAGCATGTACTACTGGAATGATCTGGTATTGTAAATTTATTTTTTTATATGTTGCACACCAGGTGAAGGATCAGTCGTGTATAGTGATCAGTACGCTAAAATGTTTTGTATATAAATTATGTCTCAGATCACTAGAAATAACTATACGCACTGTAAAACATGAAAATGCACATACATAGACGTTTCCTCCTGTTCAAACGACCGTGTTGTTCAAAATCGCTTATATCTCGAAATTATGCATAAGAAACCACTTTTGGTGTTCTAATAAAAAGTTTAGTTGGGCAATTTTATTATATAAATTACCTTCTTCTAACCCATAACTAACCCTAACTTTGACAGAAACGAACAATAAAGAATTTTTGGCTGCGCCACAACTCTAACACACATTCAAGTAATGCCCAAACTATACGACTAGAGGTGTGAATGCCCGCCGTAATTATAATGTTATGGCAAAAATGCATGTAACTCATTAGTTAGAACAAGCTATAGTATTACATTCACACCTCTAGTTGCGACCACTAATCAATAATTACTCCTAATTGTTTACGTGCTCGTGCCTATATTTCTGATACCAATACGACTTCCAATAAAAAATATAATTATACTAATCCTGCCATTTTATGCGCAGATTAATTATGCAAAATTAGCCTGATATGCCAATCATTCAAATTTAATCAGGTATTAGAAAAAAAAATAGACTAGTAATGTTTCGCATTACCATATGTTTTTTAATTTGAATTACGTTTATTTAGAAATAATCTTCATGTAACAAAACCTTTTATCAGTTATAAAAAAAACTTCATTATCGTGTTAAGCATTTTGAGCTTCTCTTGCATCTTCAAACATGTCAAATAAAGATTTATTTAAAAAAATTAATTTTGGGCAAAATTTGAATATTCTTCTCTTGAGAACAAGATTGAAATCAGTAAAGGAAAGTTTGGTGTTATGTATAAAGCTTATTTAAAAGATATAAACCAAACTGTGGCTTTGAAGACTTTATACTATTATGACGAAAAGTCATTAGACAATTTGATTAGGAAGGTATGTATAATTTTTGTTAATTTTTGTTACAGTACATATTATTCACGTTGCAACCATAATCAATCCTTACAATTTTGAATACTATAAATTGCAAGGTTAAATACACTTTTGAAGTTAATCACGATAATATAATAAAATTCTTTGGAATTACTCAAGGTATGTTATTTTTTATAAAAAGGACAATCATTTGTTTTTAAATATCTAATCATTGAGAAATCCCTTAAATTCATAAAATAGATTCTAAAGTCAAAACATATTATATAGTTCTTCAGTACGCAGACAGTGATCTCCAATGCTATTTGAAAAACCATTTTTCAAATTTAGATTGGCCAACTAAAATTAGAATGGCGAAAGAAATTTCTAGCGGAATTAAATGCTTGCATAGTGAAAATATTGTTCATCGGAATCTCGTAAGAAACTTTTTTCATTTCTTATTGTATTACTTATTATTAGTATACTAGATACATATTATTGATAAAATTTAGCACGATAAGAACATACTAGTACATGATGGTAGAATGATTATTACAGACTTTGGTTTAATAGAATCATTAGATAACAACTCAAAATCTATAACAAGTAGAGTAGGTGAGAGATGGGGATATTATGATCCACAATATCTTCGAAGTCCATTCGCGTATGAACGGAAAAAACCTTCTGATATCTATAGTCTTGGTGTTCTTTTTTGGGAACTGTCAAGTGGCGTACCTCCTTTTAGAGTTTTGAACCGAAAGGATGTAATTACAGGTCGTCGAGAAGACCAAATTGAAGAAACCCCTGTTGATTTCTGTAAGCTTTATGATGCTGCTTGGAGTGGTAGTCCAGATAGTCGTCCTGACATCAAAGAAATTTGCGAAAAGTTAGATCGTGTACAATTAAAACCAGTTTTTAGAAAAATAGTTGAATATTCTTCTTTTGAGAGGAAGGCAGAAATCAGTAAGGGAGGGTTTGGAGTTACATATAAAGCTTATTTCAAAGATAAAAAACAATCAGTGGTTTTGAAGACTTTAGGTCATGATGACGAAAAGTTATTTTATGATTTTGTTAGAGAAGTATGTATTATTTTTGTTTCAGTATACTTATTTATGTTACAATTATGATCCTTTATGTTATAATGCTACAAATTATAAGGTTAAATACACCAAAGTTAAACACAAAAATATAATAGAATTCTTTGGGACTACTCAAGGCATGTTAATTTTTATAAAATGGTTAAACAGATATTCTTAAATATTTAGTCATTTTAAATTCATAAAACAGATTCTGAAACCAAAACATATTATATAGTTCTTCAGTATGCGAACAGTGGAGATCTCCAATGTTATTTGAATGATCATTTTTCAAAATTAAATTGGCTTATTAAAATTAGAATGGCAAAAGAAATTTCTAATGGGATTGATTATTTGCATAGTGAAGATATTGTTCATCGGAATCTTGTAAGAAACTTTTTTTCATTTCTTTTTATATTACTTATTATTAACATACTAGATATACATTATTGATAAAATTTAGCACGATAAGAACATACTAGTACATGATGAGAAAATGATTATTACAGACTTTAGTTTACCAGAGTCATTAAATAACAGCACAAAATCTGTAATGAGTAGAATGCATGTAAGATGGGAATACTGTGATCCACAATACCTTCAAAGTCCACTCACGTATAAATTGAATAAACATTCAGATATTTATAGTCTTGGTATTCTTTTTTGGGAACTTTCAAGTGGCGTATCTCCTTTTAGAGCTTTGAAAGCACATCATGTAATCAAAGGTGATCGAGAAACTCCAATTAAAGGAACTCCTGTTGATTTCGAAAATCTTTATTGTACTGCTTGGGATGAGAACCCAGATAGCCGTCCTAACATTAAAGAAATTTGCAAAACATTAAAAAATATGCGGTTAAAATTATTTTGTAACAACTTTCAAAATTTCGAATATTACTCTTTTGAGAAACCAGAAAGAATCGGTGAAGGAGGGTTTGGAGTTATATATAAGGCTTATTTAAAAGACATGAACAAAATTTTGGCTTTGAAAGAGATTCTAGATCGTGACGAAAATTCATTTGATAATTTTGTTAGAGAAGTATGATTATTCTTTATTATTTTCTGTCACATATTATTCATTATCCTTATGTTTTTATACTACAAATTACAAGGTTAAGTGCACTAGTAAAGTTAATCACGATCATATAATACAGTTTTTTGGAATTACTCACGGTATGTTAATTTTCATAAAATGGATAAATGTATGTTCTTAACATCTCATCATTGAGAGTCTCTTAAATCCGTAAATTAGATCCTCAAACAGAAACATATTATATCGTTCTTAAGTACGCAAAAAATGGAAATCTTGAACATTATTTAAGTGATCGTTTTTCAGAATTAGATTGGTCAACTAAAATTAGAATGGCAAAAGAAATTTCTAGTGGGATTAATCATTTGCATAGTGCTAATATTGTTCATCTAGATATTGTAAGAGAATTCATTCTTTTTATACTAGAGATGGGTTCCATGCGTATTTTATTTCATCAAGATTTCTCTCCTCTTGACCATTTTTTCATTTTTTTTGCTTTTTTTTATCATGCGATATCATGTGCATGAAACATTTTGTGCGCATGTTATTATAAAATGCGCATTTTTCCCATCACTATTTTATACCATATGATTATTATTGATTATTAACATACTGGACAAACAATATTGATAAAATTTAGCACGATAAGAACATATTAGTACATGACGATAGAATGATTATTGCAGATTTTGGTTTGTCAGAATCATTAGATAACAACTCAAAATCTTTAACAGATGGGAGATGGGAATATTGTGATCCTCAAATCCTTCAAGATATACTCAATTATAAATGGAACAAGTATACAGATATCTATAGTCTTGGTGTCCTTTTTTGGGAAATTTCAAGTGGTGTACCTCCTTATAGAGATTTAAGGAATTACAGTACAAAAGTATCCATACAACTAAGTAGAGGTAAACGAGAAATTCCAATTGAAGGAACTCCCATTGATTTCTATAAACTTTATGATGCTGCTTGGGATGGTAAACCGGATAGTCGTCCTAGCATTGAAGAAATTTGCAACAAGTTAGATCACTTGCGATTAGAACCAGTCTTTGAGCAGGTGCTTTATTATTCATATATTGAACTTCTCAAGAATATAATTGTTGAAATTCCCAAGTTTTCAACTATACTAAATTATTAAAACAATTCCTAAACTTCCAGAAGTAAGTTTAAACATTTATATATTTATTCTTGTTGCTTAATCAGGATGTTGAGATGAATTAATAGTACTTTATATAATTAATAATAGAATAACGTGAGTACATTATATGGTTTAATTATGCATGCCAGTAGATTAATGCTAAATAAACGACTATGCCAACTATTAGGGCGTAAATATAAAGTTTTATCGCAGAAATTTGTTATATTATTTCTTAACCATGACTTGGCTATCAGATAATTTAATAAATTCATTATTTACATACCAGTCCTATTATTAGAATGTGAGTATAGAATACAACTATCCATGTTTAGAACTGGTATTAAATTTCAATATCTTGAATATCACACAATTTAAATAAACTATCAGGAGGTAATTATAAAATTCTGATAAATTAATTTTTCATAACTTAGTTATAAATTATTAACTAATAATTACCAAATTTAAAGTCCGTGAGTATAAAATTCTGATAAATTAATTTTTCATAATTTAGTTCTAAATTATTAACTAATAATTATCAAATTTAACAGTCCGTGAGTATAAAATTCTGATAAATTAATTTTTCATAATTTAGTTCTAAATTATTAACTAATAATTACCAAATTTAACAGTCCGTGAGTATAAAATTCTGATAAATTAATTTTTCATAATTTAGTTCTAAATTATTAACTACATTAATTCACCAGCACGTGAGTATATTGTATATTCGAAATTTTACTAGTTATACTAAATCATAATTCGACGATAACAATTTACAACAATTATTAGTTCGTGAGTATAATATTACAAAAAAAAATTGTAGGACTGGGTGAAACACGCGCTGTAAATTAGTAAATCCTCTAAGTAACGGTAGATCATGTTATGGTAAAATCTGTATTTAGCTGATTTTTTTATTATGCAAAATCAAATTTCACCCTCATGTGATCTACGTAGCGGATTTTACTAATCCACAGCGTGGGTTTCACCCTGTCATAAAATTATATTATTCATTGCCAGTGCATGCATCTTTAGAAAATAACAGTAACCAAACTTAAGAGAATAGGTGAGGGTTGGTTTGGATATGGCACTAGCTAAAAGACAAATATAATGATCCGACGTCACTTGACGAAAACATATAAGCTTCGATGCTCCCGATCGATGAAAATATCTAAATTTTTTATTCTCTGAGAACATGAATTTTGATTTTTAGATCCTCAAAATTTGCCAATTTTATGTTCTCATGATATTTAAGTATTATGCTCTCAATATTTATTGTTCATTTTATATGAATATGTGATTTTTTTGCATCATCAAAATACTACGAAAACCTATTTTTGTCAATAATATTTTGTTAACAGTTAGTCGTCTATGAAAAGGCCATGAAGAAGATTTTCCATAGACGGCTAACTGTACACAAAATATAATTTCAAGCCCGATGACATTTTCTTTTTCCGGCATTTAAATAATAATATTGACATTTTCATACGAAATAACAAGTTTTTTCGTCATTTGTCATATATTAATCAAAAATCATTTAATAATATTTTCCTTCATTCATTATTAATGAATGGCGAAGTATTCATCGAATAACATTAGTGCACTGGCGATAAATTACATGTCTCTTATAATAAAATTTCACAATTAATTTTAAGCAATTATGTAATTTATATCAACTTTCAGAAAGTGAGTTTAAAAGTTTGGCCACATTACTCATTCATAATGCTAATCATCCCTTAAACTATTAACTATTAGAGAGTAAGTATATATCAACTTCATGTGTAACTTCCATTTAATGTCTTATATTGAATTAGTACTAACTTTATTTATATAAAATTATGCCGATTAAACAAGAATGTACGTATACAGCTCGCTATTTATTTTTACTTTTCACTACGAACCAGTGTTAAATAATTGATTATTGCATAAATAATGTCAACCAGCATGTGAGTGTAAAATTTGTATATATTTACAGTCATCCTCCTCTACAATCACCTCCTATAGAATCTCACCATCTTTATAAGCAGCATTTTTTGAAAGATTAGTATTATTTATTTCCTGCGAGCTTAAAAATTACAGCAGAGATTCCAGGATACAAATGGCCCGAAGGGCCGTCTGCTTTATATGATCATCGTGGAATCCTTTCTGCTGTAATTTTAAACTTCTCACAGGAAATAAATGAATAATCGCCTGCCTTATGTTGTTCAAACATTCTAGTTTTCACGTGATCGGAATCTTTCATAGGAAGATTCCCGGTCACATGGAAATTAGAATGAAGAAGATCAGAATAACAAATAGTAAGGCAGGGGATTATATTTATTTATTATTACGTTACTATTAAAATTTTGTAAAACAAACGTGATTATAGAGTAGGATAATTGTATTTCTTAAATCAAAATTTTACTGTTAATCTATTGATTCAATCGCACATAAATTGCTCCAATTACCAGTGAGTAAGTATAAACTGTCAGTTTACGCTTATCGTTAAAAAATAATACTTCAAATTCATAAAATTGCATCAATTTCCAGCATGTAAGTAAAATGTTCATTGTATTTTTAGCTAGTATTATAGTATTTAATGTATAAATTACATGTTTTCTAGCATGTAAGTATTAATTTAGAATACATAATTAAATTCCAACTACCAAACTGTATGTCTTAATTTAAAAATTAAAACATCGTATAAGTCGATCGGTTTACAAGCAAGTTTCATTACAAATATTTATCGATTTCCCAAAAATTGTTCTAAATAATAATTCAAATTATCCCAATTGTCAGTGAGTGAGTATAAATTCGATTATAATATTTATTTCCCAAGTTAAAATCTTGCTTCGAATATTTGACTTAAATGATTAAATAAATTATTTCAATAATAAGCGGGTAAATATGATATTTCGAAGTATCACATTAAGCATGATGATGGTAAATAATATCTATAACAATATCGATTATTAGAGGGTAGGTGTGAACTTTGTTTATGTGTATATATTCATTAATCTGAATTTTGTAATCTGACGAATATGTAAATTATATTTACTAGGATGTAAGTATAAAGTTCTGTCATGAACAAATCTACTTTTAATCAAAATTTCAATGAACTATTTCTAAACAATATGCTGATAATTCACCTAATTTATTAGGAAGTAAGTTAAATTTATCAAATTTTACGATAAATTAATGCTAAACGTTTCTATTAATACATTTTTAATTATCAGGGAGTAAGTATTAAATGAGTATTCCAAAGTTTTATAGTACTAAGTAAAGGTTCAAATAATTAATAAATTTTACTATTTCCAGTGAGTGAGTATAAAATACGTTTTTCCATGTTCAGAGTTTACAATGTATCTGTGCTAAACAAACTTCGATTATATAATTTGTATCGATTATCAGAAAGTATGAAGTTCACTTCCATATTCTTTTTAATTAATTATTTAAAACTCATGATAACAAATTTCATTTGTAATAAATAAATTTCATAAATTACCAGAAAGTAAGTTAAATATGATTAAGTTAAATATAGATTATAATTTGTTAAAACTAATAAAATTATTAAAATTAATTGAAATATTAGAGAGTAAGTACTAACACATATAATACTTGAATTAGTCAATCTATAATTAAATATTAATTAATACTTCAAATTTATTATTGACTTATTAGGGCGTAAGTCTGAATATCATATATTTGTACATTATGCTACGTAATTAAATTTACAATGACACTAATTATATTAAATAATAGGGCGTAAGTTAAATACTTTTGTATTTATGAATTTATAATGATTTACAAACAAATAATAATAATTAATTAGGTTGTGAGTGTAAAATCGATAATATTAATCTATTTGATAAAGATCAAGTCTAATGACTATTAACCAATTTTAGGATGTAAGCTTAATATTATATTATTTTATTAATGCAGAAATTCATTCTCATTTGATGTTTACCGACATTTCAATTGTTATAATTTCACAATAGAGCGTGAGTGTACAGCTTAAGTATATATGTTTATATGAAAAAAATTTATAATTAACGAATATCTAAGATATATTAAATTTGTAATAGAATGTGAGTGTAAATTTTAATTCGATAAGTTTGTTTTAAACCAAAATTTCACAATATATTAACATTAATAATTCTTTAAATAATCATAAAATTATATTAATCGAGTTTGTGAGTAAGAAGTTTGTTACCTGTAATTAACTTTAATCGGAATATCGATAAATGATTGCTAAGTAATGCATGTTTTACTAGGAAGTAAGTTAAAAATATCTTATGTGTGCCTTTAAATAGGGAAACGTAAAAAAAATTGCTAAATATTTACATTTTAAACAGTATGTAAGTATTAAGTTCGATTTCGAATTGTTAAATCTGAATTTACAGTTATTTGATGAAATAATAATAATATGAATTAATTAATTTACCAGGAGGTGGGTATAAAGATCAATTATGTGTGTATATTAATTTGTTAAATCTGTAAAATTGTTAACATATATAATATAAACTAAAGATGGTATAAAGCTTGATTAATACTTTTGCATGATCAGAATTTTGAATAAATTAGTACTAAATAATGACTAAAACGATAATATTAACTACCAGGAAGTAAGTTTAGTGTTTTATTAACCTTCTACAATGAATTAGTACTAATTTTAATTAAATAAATTTCATCAAGCGCCAATCCGTAAGTATAAAGTTCTATTGTTGTATTATTTTATTAAATAGAATAACATTTAATCGACTTGTAAATTCATTAATTAACAGGTGAGTACATAGTCGGTTGCTAATAAATCAAAATTAACCAATTATTAATGCTAAATAAAATTACAGTGGGTGAGTATGAAAATGATTACATCTTTAGTTAAAAATTTTCCAATTATAACTATGGTTTTATATATTACAGAAAGTGGGTTTGAATATTTTTATTTTCTAAATTTAATTTCATAATAAATCGTTGCTAACTGATGTTTAAAACAATTGTCAGGGAGTGAGTATAAATTTCTGTTA